AGAGCTTGAACTCTGGCCTCCACCGCCATTCATGGTTATCATCACATAGATTGTGCGGTGGGAACTGAATTACCAAACAATCAGCAATTACGTTGTCTTTTTTGAATGGCTGAAATTTAAGGCCTGCAGCACCATGAATTGCCTAATTGATTTTGTGACCCAATTTATTGCTGTCCACGTTGGATCCCTGGTTTCTTGCCACAATTTTTGTAGCCTCTGCTTATGTTTTAACAGGCAATCTAGACCAGGAAGATCGTTGTTTATATCCGAAAGTGTAACTTTTCTTGTGGACAACCTATATGCCAAAGCAATAGAGGCTGCAAAGTAGCGCGCCACTTTATTGGCTTCTACCCCCAGACTTAATTTCTATTTTAGGTGATATTAACTCAGAGGTGAGGCTTTGAAAAGCACTCCCAATCTGTGAATTTTTCAATAGGTTCTGAAAGGTTCCTAATTTTAACATGATCCAGTATGTGGAATACTATTGGTAGGTGATCTGAATCCAAAATATCATAGACGATGACATCTGACATTCTGCTATTTTTGTGGACCACAATATCCAGCACTTCACCATTTCCAGTAGGGGAATAATGAGTGGGGCACTGTGGTGCTGAGATTTTGAAATCACTCATATCAAATAAATTCATGAGTTTCTCGTCTTAGGGGTTTGAAACTCTGCTATTCCAAAATGGGTACTTAGCATTCAAGTCACCTGTCAAAATAGACTTACGTCTATAGCTTAAGAACTCAGTGATGTCAGCATCACTCCAGGCCCTGCCTGGGGATTTATAAACAGCTGCAAGCAGTACTTCACTGTTACCAATTGGTATGCAGACCCCTGTTGCTTCTACAGAAACAAGGAGTGGTAGGTCTACATGGTTATGGGGGATGCCTTTTCTAACTGCAACGGTAGTTCCGCCTTTTCTGCCTGAGTGGTGGTCAGTTGTACAAATGTGGTAATTTGGAAGAAAGAATCTCATGAGGTTTCAGATGTGTCTCTGAAAACAGGACCACATCTACGCGTAGGTCTTGCAGCTGTTTACTGAGCTCATAGCGCTGCCTCCAAATGCCATTTGCATAAAATGCTATGATTTTGAGTGGCCTATGAACTCTAGTGGCCATTTTGTTTCATGAGATTTAATACAGTTTTTGTAATGGCCGTTATTTTGTCCTCTTCAGACACTGCACCGTTGAACTCTGTCATGATCTGCTGTACTGCGGTCACAACTCTCGACATATTGTCGAGAGATTGACTGTTTGCATGAGGATCCTGAACTGACTGACCTGTTTCTTTCTGCAGTGCAGGGGCTGGAACATTTTGTTGTTTTGTTACTGGAATGGGGTTTGGCTGTGGTCGCTGTTGTTCTGCGTTGGTGCCGCCATGAAGGACACACCTGAGGTGACGAGGTTCGATCAGAACACCCTCTCCATAGCAGTTTTCGGTGTTCTCTTCACCTTCCTTTTTTGCAGCTCTTCCCTGACGTATCTGCAACCCCGATAGTTGGCTGGATGTGGCTTGTCTCCCTCTGCCAACCCAGCAGTTGCAGCATGTTGGGGTGGAAGCAGCGTTTCCCTTCTCTGTGCATTCCTTATGCAGGTGGCCGCCTCTGCACCACAAACAGCATGGAGGTTGAGTACAGTTAGCCCAGACATGGCCAAATTGTTGACAGTTATGACATTGCGTAAGTCCAGTCTGAGCTCTGTACATCTCCACCTTGATTGATATGTGGCAAAGGCTTGGCAGATTGAATATTTCCTGTGATTTTGCTGTCCATGGCAAGGTTATCAGGAACAAGGGAAGGTTCCTGGTTGTTGCTTCTTCAGGTTGGGATCGTCGGGTTGTTGTCATTTGCTTGACGCTAGCAAGATCGAAGCCCAGGTTTTCCAGACCTTCTGAAATATTGTGGGATATGGGGAAGAAGGAATAATAGGCTAGGTTATTGTTGGTGAAATGAGACTTGATGGCTTCGAAATCTGCAATGCCTTTCGTAACGACTCTGGTTCCATTTCTTGTGCTACAGAACTCGAAGTCCTCCTTGACCACGTTTTTCAGTTTCTTTTGCAACTATATGAGATTCGTGAATGATGTCAATATTATTGGAGGTGGCCTACCTGCTTTTGCCAGAGACTTCCTCCTTGGGTGTGGCGGCCTCTGCACTAGTGCTGTCAGTCTCCATTAATGTTTTCATGGGGGCAAAGAAGTTGAGGGTGGCAACCTCTTTAGGGGGCGTGATTTCAGAAGCTGCCACTTTTATCTTTGAGGCCGGGGCGGCCTCATTGGTACCATGCCGCTTGCGCCGCCAGACTTCTTTGAAACCGTCCTCCTGGGTTGAAGAGGACTTAGCTTTCTCAGATTGAGCAGTTTGACTGCTCGCCTTCAGCACCGCCTTTAACTCCTGTAAGGCGACTGTGTATGTGCCATACAGGGCACTAAACAGGGTCTTCCCTGTTAGGACCTGGCAGTAGTTCTGGCCGCTTTTGTCCGTCTCACTGACGATAGATGACCGCTGTTCACTGTCACCCACAAAAGCTGGAGTGTACCCTGCCACGTCCTCAATGTCGTGGAGTACTTGAAGGAGCTGTTTCAGCTGTGCGTCTGCTTCGGGGAACTCAGCTACCAGCTGCTGGTACTGTGATTTTAGCGTCTGACACTTCTTGGTTCAGTGTGCCCCGTATCCCGGCACTGGGATGGCAGCCATATTTGGCACCACTGTTCTTGTCTCGTCTTCACTCACTTCAGTTTTCAAAGAACCACTGTCAACAATGAATATAAATAGTAATCCAATGTTGCAGACTACTCTCTTCACTGTTCAGCTACAGCCGATGTGAACTCACACCTAATTGCCAATAATCTTGACTCACAATCTCACACACACAAGCAGTGGACGAACAGTTGAACTAATGAATCAACGACCTGTGTCACCGTGTACTCGAATCAGCTTACTCGTCAAAACCTCTGTCTCCCAATCTCTTCAACTCTTTTACTTCTTAGGAATTCCAATCTCTCCTATAAACTCTCAATCAGACAAACAGAAAATGCTGCTTGCTCCACTGTTGCATTATTGTTACGTCTACAGAGGCGTTGCTCAGCAACGCTTCACTTAGCTGCTGTTGAGCTGTGTTTACCACAGTGCTGCATAGCAACAAGCACAGTGTGGCTTGGCACAGCACGGCACAGAGAAAACACTGCTTTCCTTATTGTTGTGTAATTGCCGTGGTTACAGATTTCTGTCCCTCAATGATTCTTGCATAGTGTTAAATACACCACACTATTTTTGTATTGGTCAGCATGTGTTGGTGGAAATAATTGATCAGAATTTTGGTTTCAGAAGTTTAATTTTTAATTAGTTTATTTCTTATTTGTGATTTATTTAATGATTCTGTGAATGGCTCGGGATGTAAAGAAGCAGTTATGGTCTGGTATGATGTCCTGCCCAACCATTTACCTGGATTTGGATCCCAGGAGTTGTTTCACTTCTATTTATTTTTTGTTTATAGTTTAATGACAGAGGCTGCCTCTGTGGTCTAGTGGTCAGAGTTCCTGACTACAGTCCGGGTTCGATTCCCGGCGCTACCAGATTTTCTGAGAAGTAGTGGGTCTGGAACAGGGTCCACTCAGCCTCATGAGGATAATTGAGGAGGTATTTCGAGGAAATAAAGTTGGCACTCACTTCACCGACAAGCAGCGGTTGCTCGGTTGGTGTATTTCACTTGCGGAATACAGGCTACAGTTGTTGTTTTTTTATTATTATTATTTATTTTATTTTATTTTTTATGACAGTAAATAGCTAGGACAGCTCAGGTGGTACAGCTATGGGCTTCATGGCCAGGGCTTGATTTCTGACAGGGGCAAGACAATTTCTCTTCTCCAGAATGGTTCTGGGGATCACCAGCCTCCTGTCCAATGGGTATTGGGAGACTTGTTTCCCTGGGGGTAAAGCAGCTGGGTCATGGAGCTGACCACACCTGCATTTAGTGCTAGGCCAAGAATGATGGAGCTATACCTTAACTTGCCCATACATCTTCATAGTGTGGTGCCTTATTAATTAAGCATGGGGAGAACTTTATACCTTTAGCTTGCCTTTAGTTTTATGGCAGTAAATCTGACTAAATAGCATAGAATGATTGGATGGTCATGAGTAATGAATTGGAACAGGAGTGGATGGAGACGGTCATAGTCTAGTTTAAGGTACTATCCCAGCATTTGCCTGAAGGGACTGAGCCAAAATTCAAACTGTGGACTTTCTGAATATAATACTTTAGCTAAAATACGCTTTTTCATTCCTGTTCATAACTATAAAGATAACTACAGATTCAGAATTTCATTTCAGTATTAGAAAGGATGTTGCAGTTCATAAATATTTGTTGTATTTTTCTCCAGTTTATTCTCGTGTAACTAGTCCAGTTATTTTTCTCATTTGGCAGTTGAGATGGGCATTACCATGCGTGTCTGCTGTCCCAACTTACACATGTTGACTCAGAAAATATGCATATGCAAATGCTGTGACATGTCCTTATGCAGGACATCATTTCACTATAGCAGCCTTGAAAACTTGTTCCTTTATACAGCTGTGCTGTTCTCAGCTCCATTCTTCAGGAACTGAAAAATAAAGATGTATATATCTATCATCCACATATGTATTATTTAAACCTAAATAATGCTGACAGTATTTCTCAAAGTGATTCGGTGTTCTTATTATGAAAAGTCTGTCCCATTAAAACTTGTAACTTTTTATGTGAAATGTGTGTGTGTGTTTTTTTTTAATTTGGTGAATGAATGAATGATTGGGTGGAGGTAGGTAAGCAGATATTCTGAAGCTTCTGTTGTAATGTGTTCACGATTTGTATGACATTTGGCCATAAATCTGTAAAAAGTATGAAGAGTTGGAAGTTTACTGAAATTTTCCTCATCCCCAGCAGTGGCCCATTGTACTTAATGCAATCTCAGAACTTGTGGAATGTCGTAGAATCTGTTACTGAATTTGGATAATGTCATACAGAAATACCTGGAGCAAGCACAAGACCTGGTGTTCAACGAGAATGTGTTGCTGCAAACACTAGGCTTTGATGTGGCTATCGACCATCCACACACGCATGTAGTACGCTGTTGCCATCTGGTTAGAGGTAAGTGTCTTGCTATCACTACAGCAAGAAGGAGATATGTGCAGGCGACGGAGGTATATCTAACAAGGTCATTTGAAAATCTGAATTGTGTTGTGAACATTTTTATGTGGAATTATCTGCAGAATATGTTTTTGTACCTGATCAGCATGTACAGCCACTATGTTTGGTTTCAAGAGTTACAGCACACTTTGAATGTTTATTTAATATGACAGGGATCATCAGGACAACCACAGGCAGTGGAGGTAAACATATATGATAACCGCTCTTTCTTATCCTCACATTTGCTTTTATGTGGTAATGACATGGTGATTATCAGCACCCAGTGCTTGAGGTGGAATGAAAATAGAATCGGGATGCCATCCCGCCCCACCTCAAGCCCTGGGTATTGTACATTGCATTTACTGCCAAAGAAATAACGGGATGCTTTTAAGCCATTTAGAAAAGAACCGGGATACCATCCCACCCCACCTCAAGCCCTGTTGTGGCTGTGATAGCTCACTTGATATAGTGACAGGCCACAGGCTGGCTGGCCAGGGTTTGATTCCTGGTAGGGGCAAGAGATTTTTCTTTACTCTAAATCATCCAGACCAGCTTTGGGGCCCTCCCAGCCTCCTGTCCAATGAGTACAGGGAGCTCTTTCCATGAGGGGTAAAGCAGTGGGGGTATGAAGCTGATCATTCACCTCCATCTAGTTGTGAGGTCAAGAGTGGTGGAGCTGTACCTTCACTCCCCAACATGTGTCATCATGGTGTGATGCTTAATTAATTAAGCACAGGGACAACTTCACCTCTTACATTTTTACCTTTAGGTCATCCCTTTACAAGGTTTTTTTTTCTACTCTCTTGGCTTTACAGAACTGTTTCTTCTATATTTATCTTCACATGTGCCATTGTCTTTATTTCCTTCTTTCTTTCTGTACTTTTTCATATTAATTCATGACTCATTTTGGTTGCCTTTGGCATTCTGTCACAACAGCCCTTCCCCCCTGACTCCCATAGGTATCCCAATCATGTTTGGGCCTATTTCTTTATAAAATATTCACATATTTAAATATGTAACTGGTACTGTTAGTCACTGTGTAACACTTCTAGTGTTGTTCTGAAACTGTATGGTCTTTATTTAACCATTCACACTACTAAGTATGTATATTGTGTTTTGGTCATCGTGTTAGCATCATCAGGCGTGTCTTTGCAATTAAATTTGCTTCTAATTCATTATTACCTCATCTTACACTTTCCCAATATGTAAAACAGGGATTCCCAAATAGTCAAAATGAATCTTTCCCATTATCTTCTGAAATATTTTTGTAACTATATTAAATTTCATAAGTCTTCTCTGTGTTTATTTTAAGGTTTAAATTTCCACTTGTCATAAATCATTTAGTTGCAGTCTATTTCCAGTTGGTTTTGTCACACTGCCATGAACCGCCATGTACCATGATTCTTTGTATTTGTTGCGTTTATATAGCTGTTTATCCCTTTAGTATGTCATGTAAATTTGTAGTATTCTCATGCTGTATGAGCAGCTAATTTGAATGTGCCTATTCACTGAGTTGTTGGTCACTCATAGCAGCAGGAGACATTTAATTTTACTATACATATCCTGGGTTATGCACAACTAATTGATTCCTGAATTCTCATAATTTCTGCATAATATACCAGATTTCAGATATCAGATCTTTTATGGTCACTCATTTTGCCAGATTATTTTCATGCAGTCCAGATAAAATGTAAGTGTATGTTCATGTCTTATCCCCAGAATGCAGGAAAAATTCATAACATAGATAAGGGAAACAGATCATTAGAAAATATGACATAGTCTCCTTATTTCAGAAGGACACAGAATTACATTGGCAAATAAATTGAGAGCACATTTAATTTAGAGAAGGCATGAATTTACCGTGTTCGCATCTATTATATAAAAAATACAGTGATGAAAGCAAACAGATCTATAGCGTTGCATGTTTCCTATATGTGAGTCCACTTTGGAAAGGGGCACATGGTAGTATAGTTTGTTGAGGCTCTGTGCTGGAAGCCAGAAGGTTGGGTTCGATTCCCAATGAGGTCATTGGATTTTTTTCAGCTGCTCAGTATCTCTGGTGTTGACTCAGCCTCTGACAAGAATCTTCCTGCCTTTTGGAGATGAATCAAGTGGTATGTGTATGTATTTACCACAGAACACATGAAAACAGTAGAAGATAAGTGAAAAATGAAGTTATTCATGTCCTGGCTAAGGAGCTCACACAGGCTCATGTGCAGTGAGTACTGGGGTCTTTATCCAGAGGTAAAGCAGCTGGGGCGTGAAGCTGACCCCTCACTTCCACCTGTTGCCGAGTTCAAGAATGGTGGAACTATACCTCCACTCCCCACATGTCTTCATGGCATAGTGTTTAATTAAGCACAGGGAGAACTATACATTTTACCTTACTGTATCACTGAAGATATTTGAGACCCTCATTGTCTTACACATTCGTAAGTGATGAATGCAATTTTGAGTATAAACTGAGTTTCAGTAATGTACTGACACTGCAAGTAACCATTAGTTCTGACCCCAGTTTTAAAGACATCCCACTTGTGCTTCAGAGGACCACACTACTCATCCCATTATCCCCGAACCTGTCCATGCGTTCATTGCAATTTGTGTCTAGAAAAACAATATGTTCTGTCCTGATCATATTGTTATAAGTCACAACAGAGATGTACCAGACACCATGGGGCAAGTGGTAGCATAGCTGGTTGAGGCACTATGCTACTAGCTGGAAGGACATAGGTTCGATTCCCAATGAAGTTAGTGGATTTTTCATTTGACCTAATCCTTCCAGCTGCACTGTGGCCCTGGGGTTGGCTGAGCCTCTAACAGAAATGAGTAGCAGGAATCTTCCTGGGGGTAAAGGGCAGCGGGCACGTAAGGCTGACCTCACTGCCATGTGTGAGCTGATTGTCTAGAAAATCTGGGAGCCTCAGCGCCTCATAGTGGTATGGGCCTCGATGGCCTGTTACACGGATTTTATTTTATTTATTTATCCACACACAAACACTTTGGTGGGAACTCCTAGGTTGAGGGTGTTGAGAACAAAGTGATAATGAGATGTTTTTAGTTTGGGATTAGCTGTCACAGAGAATGATACTTTTCTTTTATTTCTAACTACATAGTATGTGTTTCAACCATAAACAGCCATCATCCAGTGATAACTAGGGACCGGATTTTTATGCCCTAATAATCCCTTAAATATGTATGCATTTATGCATGAAAAATTTCCAAAATATGCACTAAAGTGTGCACATAAAAATTTATACCAAATATTAAAATTGATTTTACATTATTTTAAGACCAAAAAATCAATATTTAAGTTCATTTTATGTAATCACTGAATGATTCACTTGCAATAAAAAGCTATACTTAAATACAAATCATGCAACAAAGCCAACATATTTCTTTACAAATTTAAAAAACCAATGGTATTCACATTTAGGTCTCTGAACTCTCATCTTCTCTTCTATTGCAGTTCACAATTACTAAAAGTTTTAGGTTTTCCATAGTTATTCACCTCCTGTTGTCTCGTAAGATGTCCTTATAGCGGGAAAAACTTCTTTCCACCTCACAGGAACATAGGGGTGCATGTACAAAAGCCGCTATTTACTCCACTGTTAGTGATTTTTTACTTGGCAGTTCAGTACGTTTACCAGCTAAAATTTCTTCAGTTTCACAAATTTCATTCGTGGATTTTTTTAAATAATGCTGTGTACTTTTTCATTACTACTTCACCAACTCTTCCAGGAACCGAATTCAGTTTGGAAACAGTGGTTTTGAACACACTTAACGACTGACACAAAGTAGTATTGCTGTTGCTTGCCTCCAGTGAGGAAATGGTAGATGAGAGATGAGAGGAGTAAGCAGATATATAGGAAAGATTAGTTTCTAGTTCTGCATTTTTTAGTACATCTTGGGCATTTTGAATTGATGCTGCACTTTTGGGATCAAATGTATTCTCGACATTCCTAACTGCTTCTAAATGTTCGGTATAATAACTCGCTGCACACAGCCACGTGCCCCAGCTCGTTAAAATTGGTTCTGCTGGAATTGGAACGCTCGGTGCTACTGCTTTAAAGGATTCTTTTTTGTATGGCGCTTTAACAAATACCTTCTTCACAGAAGACACCAACTTGTTAACAAGCAGAAAATCTGCACAAATTATTTCTGCAACACGGTACAACCCGTGGGCAAGGCAAGTCACATGTGTCATATTTGGAAATATAACGTTAAGAGCAGCACCGATTTCATCATATAACTTGCAGCATCAGTCACAAAGAGCAATACACTCTCATACTGAATGCCATTCGGCCATAGTAAATTCGTGGAATTGATAAAAAATTCAGAAACTGCAGAGCTATTTGTGGTTTCAAATTGCTCTGACGCAAGAAGATATGGGGCAGATTAAGGGATCCAACTATACAATTTGCAGTAAACTGTCCCTCACAATCTTGTGTTTCGTTGATTGATACCCACACAAAATTATCTTGAATCTTATCTCTAATGCTTTCAATTGTAAGATCATAACACAGCTTCACGTAATTTTTGTGCACAGTGGATTCATCCGGCACTTTGCACTGTGTATACTTCTCTTTGAAGTTTCTCAGAGTAGGATTGGTTAGTTTCCACAGCGGAATATCTGCCGCTAAAAGGGCTTCGCATTAATCAAAGGAAAACTGTGAAAAACTATTAGAAAATTCACTAAGCAATTGAACAAGAGCACTTTTTGTGGATTTAATTTTAATATTCTCTTTGTGTATATTAGTGTTCAAATGCTGAAGCACTTGAAAGCGTTTTTCACAACCAACTGTTTTCTCACACGCTCGGCAATAAAGAATTTTGTTATCAATAGTTAACATCTCTCCTTCAAACTCCCGCTGATACAGCTGTAATTTAGTTTTCTGACTTACTTTCACTTTCGGCACGACTACAGAAAGCTAAACAGACTTAACTACAGACTAGTCACCACT